ATAATTACTATGGACATTATTAAATGAATAAATAATTATATTTTTAACAATATTCACACGAACAGTCAACATAACTGCAAATTTAAGGTTATGTGAAGAATTATTCAGAGGAATCAGTAAAAAAAAAAAATAAATAGTTTCTAAGCAGCCTTGAGAATAAAAACATTCTACTGTATTGCAATGCATATTATGGATACAGTTTGTTTATTAAATATACATTTTTGTTTTAAGTTAATAAGCGAACAGCTGATTTTCAGCCCTAGGGCCACAAAAACCTGCTCAGTCCCTAAATGACGATGACAGCTAGGATGAACTCAATACGTAGCTTTCAGCCTCCAATTCACATTTGTAAAACTGCTTAAAACATCGTAGTGTGGTGAAAAGTTTCTTTCATTGTAATTACAGTTAGGGGGTTCTTTTCTGAAGTAAAGAGGTTGAAATCTTGCCGAGACTAACGCTTTAAAACCGCTTTTACATGTATTTATTTAGAAAAATAAATCTTTAGGTAAAGAATAACTGACTAAGTTTTAAGGTCATGCTTTATTAAATTTGTCATCAATACAAATACTATGCATTTAAGACTTTGAAATAATAACATTAACATTTATAAACTTATACAATTTAACTTAGAATCAGAATCAGAATCAGAATACTTTATTCTTGAACATAGAGTACAGAATAGGCGTCATTACAGAGATTGAGAGGATTGTTTAATCCTCACTGGAACATCGGTGAAGTTCTCCAGTTCATGAACTCCTCAACTGTGTAGAACGGTCTCTCCACAAGCCAAGCCGATAAGCGTTGTCTGGTGCTGCTTATGCTGGGGCCTTTTATTGTCTCTGGGAGCAGGTTCAGGAACTTCGCTCCCATGTAGGAAGGCTTTTCTTCAAAAAGAGTTAGATGATGGACTGGAAGTGTGTAATTCATAGCCTGTCGGGTGTTATGGCTGTGTCTATCCGTACCTCGTTGGATCTGTAGCCTGCTTGCGTGAGTAGCCACAGCTAGGATGTACAGGCTTGTAATCGTTAGGATTTTTAGCTCACGGAATTTCGGTCTGTGACTTTCTCTCTTGTCCATGTCTGCTAATATTCTTACTGCTTTTTTCTGGTGGATAAGCACACGTTGGAGGTTGGTTGCCGATGAGTTTCCCCATACTTCAAGGCCATATCGAAGATGTGATTCAAACAGTGAGTGGTAGGCAATCTTGGCTATGTTGGTGTCACTTATGGTTTTTATCCTTCTTATCACGTAGACACTGCTATTCAGCTTACTACACAGGCTGTCAATATGGGGGGTCCATGTCAGTTTCTGGTCTATTATTAAACCTAAATACTTTGCTTCTTCTGGGCCTTCGATGTCTGGGATCCTGCATACCCCACTATTTCTCCTACCAAAGACCAGTTGTTGTGTTTTCTCTTCATTAACTACTAAGCTGTTGTTTTGGCAATATTGTATTGCCATGTTTATGGAAACAAACGAGCTGATTTCAAGGGCTTCAGGGTTTTTCCCCCCAATGAGGAGTACGGTATCATCTGCATACATAAGAGTCCTGCTGTAGTCTTCCAAATAGTGAGGGAGATCATTTGTAAACAAGATGAAAAGGATGGGGCCCAGCACAGAACCCTGTGGAACACCCCTTACTACAGGTAATAACTTTGATCTTACTGTTTGTGTAGATCCCTTTTCAGTGTATTTGAGTTCAACCATCTGACTTCTTCCAGTTAAATAGCTCTTGAACCATTCTGCAGTTTTCCCACCAATTCCAATTTTTCTCAACTTGTTACACAGTTGTGTATGATCTAAGCAGTCAAATGCTTTGCTGAAATCAAGGAAAATTGCGGTTGGTATGTTTCCTTCTTCTAGATTATCTATTACATATTCAGTTAGCGCTATTATGGCAGATGTGGTTGATTTTCCCTGTACAAATCCATGTTGATGTTGTGATCTTATTTTAAATGTAAATCACAATTCAAAATTTTTATTGAGATACCATATTGTTAGCCGAAAAATATATTATTCTTACATATTGTTCTCGTTTGAGAGACCAAATGGCTCCATGATATGGAAAAAAAGTAATTTTTCAGAATAACTGAATCTACATTATACGCAACACTTTAAAAATCAATCTTTCAAAGTGAAAATCAAAAAGGTTAAATACCATTTTGGGCCGAATACCCTTGTATGTGTAAATATCAAAGTACTGTATTGCATTCTTCAAACAATTTTAAGGTAATAATTAAAAAAAAAAGTTATATTTGTGATATGCTTTACACTCTATTATATTTTATATAAGTATGAAAGTAGTCAGGGTTTGTCTGTTCCCCTTTTTTTATTTAGCGACTCTAGTCTTCTCTGACAAAAGCTATTTTTCTAAACCCATGTTGCCCTCTGGAATGAAGCATATCATTAAAATTTTTGAATTTTTATATGATTATTTCCACGTTGTATATATTTTTAGGATGTATTCATTTTACGATTTTAAGATTGCTAAAGCATATGTACTACTAATTTAGTTAGACGAATAAAAAGAATATTCGTAGAAAATATTATTAGTTTTAATAGTCACTTGAATATCAGCTTAGAATTTAAATTCAAAGAGGGCGTCAATCTATGTTAGACTCTTATAAACTTGTACATAAAATGTTTATCTATTACTTAGTGAACCATAAACTGTTTATATTTTATCATATAAAACTTAGAGAAATTCAAAAATAACTCGTTAAACATTTTTTGATGCGATACTTTGAATAATGGCCTCTATTAATTAGACTAACCAATGTTCTTTGTTAAAAGTGCTTCTTCGGTTTTACCACTGTTATGATTAATACAAATGGCACACAGAGAGACTTTAATAAATGTTTGTGCTAATGAAAGTCTGGGATTTACTTAGCAAGTCATAATGACCTGCGCTTTTCTCCTTTGTATTTCCCTGTCCTCACATTTGTCGTAATTAATTACCGTAATCAAGTTTAAAAAGTTAGAACTAGTATTGTATAGTGTTTTAGACGTTGCTTAATTAATTTTCAGTATACATTACATTATAGTTTTCTGTTGCCATCACCCCAAATTAAGACGTAAAATAATAGTTTAGATAACCATGCATTAAAATTGTAGGTATTAAAAATTAGTATTAAAATTCTGGAATTACTTATTGTTTTTTATTTAGTAGTTTTAGAGCTGTTATAAGTCGGTTATTGTACGTCGAAGCTATTATAATGTTTTCCTTTTCCAACATAGTAACTCAACTCTCTTAAGCTCATAGGCAAAGCATTTGTCTGAAGTAAAATAATAACTCGTCATTAAAAAACTAAATTTGTACGCAAGTCTGTTAAAAAAACTCCCGGAGGGCATCGTTAAAATATTTGTTTTGTGAATTATTTAATTGTTTCTGATTATTATAAAATGAATTTAAGATATTTATTAGTATTGTATTTTTTCACGAAATGGATTGATAAAGCCCGCAGGTTGAAACTTCATACCATTCCGAAACAATAAATGCAGAACATGCTTTGCGATATAGGGATGAATTTTGTGTTGCTACAATGTCATGATTTAGTTTTATGCCTTTTTCAATACGCCTTTTTACACTCTCAATAAGCATATTAGGGAGTGGTAGTGTATTTTAAGTGTAAATATTTTATTTCAGGAGTCGGTGAAAATTTTACGGGAATCAATAAAAATCGCTACGTAAATGGCCGTAGTAAGATTAGCAAAATAAATAGTTTCTAAAATATATTTATTTTATTATAATCGATGAAATTGTACACCATTGAGCAATAATTAATTATCATAAAACAAAGTATGTGATATTCGATTTATACAACTTTTCCATAGCGATAATAATAATAATAAAAATAGAATAAGGGACATTGCTATTTAGAAGTAATATAAAAATAAACTACAAATTTAATCCCCCCGAAACAAATCGTAAGTGTACACACTTCTCAAGACTTGAGATCAATATTTTTAAATGTACTATAAATAATTTGAAACACTGACTTTTTTATATCGTTGATGTTAAATAAAATGTTTAAGATTTTCCTTTTTAAAATTTCTTATTAAAATAAAACACATGGGTGAGGACAGTTCATTTCCACTTTTCCTGTTAGATCTCGGTTCTCTGCTGACTAAAGTAATTTTTCTTGGTGCACCACACTTCCCCCAAGAGCTATTTCATTTTATAGTACCCAGTTTTATGTTATTAAACATCCTTGGTTTTCTAACAATCATTCATTTTTATGAAGCGTAGGTAAATTTTGTCAGTCTTTGCTTTTTACACTCCCATCCGTTCATGCAAGGTCAATCAGTGTTTAAATATCACGATAAATTGTACACAGAATTTTTTTTTTATAAATATAGAATGTTGTTCAAAGGTTTATTGCGGACATTTTCCATCACGAATGTAAAAAACAATACACAACGTTTCGGGATCTGGAATCTGATCCCGTCTTCAGGTGAAAAAAACTTAACCAACACATTACAACTAACAATACACAAACGCCCAACCTAAGTTGGAATGCACTACAGAGTGTAGTAGTAAAAAAATATGCACTGTATAGCAGTCAAGTCATGATACAACATGCAATTAACAACATTAACTCACCATCACCAACAATGAACTTCAAACAAAGAAATATAGAATGGGTTTCGAAAAGGTGCTACCTGGGTATATAAAAGATCGATTGAATCTGCAAAACAAATTAAGCCTAAGTAAAAATATCCCTTAATATTTTTTAACGCCACATTTTTTTCACTGATCATTTAATGATCATCATTGCAGAATATTTTAAAGCTATTACTCATCTAATCGTCACCTTTTCGTTTGATTACAGCCCACCAACATACCATAAAACAGTTGCCATCATTTGGTACCCTATTGTTTCTTCGTCATTAATAACTAGTGTTTTCTGGATAACAAAGTCTTGAAATTATAAATAAATAAGCCTAATTATAAATGTTGCAGTTTTTCCCTGTTACTAACATTTTGTATTTTGTTCCAGAGCCCTCGGCGCTATACGACAATAACCATTACCATGAGGAATGCCTGCGCTGCAACTCCTGTGGCCTCAATCTGACCGGGCCCAACCAGAAACGCGCTCGTCGCTTCAAAAACCACATCCTGTGCGACCTGCACTTCGCCGACGTTGCGCTCATGGAGTGCTCGGACTTCATGCAGCAGTTGCGCAGCTTCAAGCCCCAGTCGCTCGGCTGCGCTGTTGCTAGGAGAAAGAGTTCCACGACGCTAATCTTCCCGTTACCACCACAAGCATGTTCAGGTAACAGTTTATTTTGATATTTCCTAAGTAAAACAGCACTCAAGAACGAGCTGGTTTAGTGGTTGAGTGCGAGGATTTAGTCCCTGGTTCAAATCCCGACAGTCAATTATGGCTTAGAGGTAGAGGTATGAAAACATGTGGCTATATAGGCCTAGCCGAAGGTAACAAATAAACGGTTCTATAAGTCTAGAGTCCTGTCCTAGGGTGTAAACGTGGGTGTTAATGAATTCAACACTAAGTTATACCAGGTGTCCCACGAAGGGGTTTAAACGTTTGATTTTATATTACGTGTCCATTCATGCACCAAACCTTTTTAAACTTTACACAGTTGTTTACAAAGTAGGTTCTAAAAATATTCTGGAAAAATGTCAACTCCCTAACCTTAGTAGAAACAAAATGGCGGCTTATTGACAAATTTACCAATGTACTTTCTATAAAAACTACTTTCATGATTTATTATTAGTTATTTATTTATTATTATTATTTATTAGTTATTTGATTAAGTTTTAGTTTTCCATTTGGCTATTTTCTATTTTTTTCTTGTTTAAAAGTCATATTGCCCTGGAAAGTAACAATAAAAATATTTTATAAAACCAAAAATACCTTTTTTAATGTTTTTAAAGTAACTTTTTCAATATGCCGCCATTTTGTTTCTACTAAGGTTAGGGAGTTGAAATTTTTCCAGAATATTTTTAGAACCTACTTTGTAAACTGTGTAAAGTTTCAAAAAGTCCGGTGCATGAATGGGCGCGTAATATAAAATCAAACGTTTAAACCCCTTCATGGGACACCCTATATATTTGTTTGTTTTAAAGAAGTGGCTGAGGAAAGCGGTCCATACCCATGGGTTGTGGATTTGCCGGGAATCGAGCCCGCCCCTCCTACACGGTGATGCAAATTCAAAATATAATTTTATTTCTTAATTTTGTTTTAAATATTAGTATCACGAAAACAGTTCTCTTGACAACGCATATTATAACCAACTACAGTATAATTGACTGAAGTTAGCGAAAAAAACTCACGTTCTAACAACCTTTCGTGTTTTTAACAGAAGTTAATTCATGCGAAAAAGTTAAGATTTTACTGATTTGTTGTTCATTTATTAGTTACTCTGCATTAATATGTTTAAATGTGATATTTTTCAACGATAGCAGGATAAGGAAAAGGAAAAAGGTTTTATGGCATTGGATATTTTTTATTGGACATTGTACTATCGATAGTAATTTCCTTTTATTCATTATAATAATACTGTCAAATACCCCCGCCGCAGCAAACCTGCCGACTAAGCGAATTTCCATTTGTCTGAATTGATTTTCAGTTAAATATAATATTTTAATAACATTAGGTTTAACGAGTACCTAGGTTTGCTGCTACAAGGAAACTAATAAAGTGTGTTTTTAAGTAAAATATTGATAGCTTAGTACAAAATAAATAAATTTGCCAAGTTTGATCAAAATATATACATAAACAAGCAAACTACAACAATTGACAATATTCTCCATAAAAATAACATAGGAATTTTAAATTTACAATTTTTTTAATTTTCTCCGTTACTAATAACCGAACAAAAATACTTTTATATACTAAATTATTTGTTTTTTTAAGCTCTTTAAAAAGGCCTAAAGAGAAATCGGGAAATTTTGTGTTTTCAGGGTCCAAAGTGAGAAAACCCAATTTTTACCCCATAAAACCCCCCATAAAGCCCCGTTCCCATGGTCCGATCGTGCTGGTTCGCGAACTCATTCAAGTTTATCCCGCTTTACACCTTTAAACCAAATTTCATCAAACTCAGACAAAAATTACTCAAGTTATCGCGTTAACGGACGTATATATATATTTATATATATATATATATATATATATATATATATATATATATATATATATATATGTCTATATATATATACATATATAAAAATTTGAACGAATGGTGTTTTTGGCCTCTGGGGACATCAAAATGAAAAAGTAAATCGGTCCCGGGTCTAGGTCTTACCGTGCCACCTACGGTAATAGCTACTTCCCTATAGGGAAATTCGCTAAAATCGACTAAAAATAAATATTTTATGTACAGACTATTTTCACCCCACGCTGTAAATAAAACATTTCATAAAACATTTACAGATTGTAATTTCTTCCATTTGCTTAGATTTTTTGTTTATATTTCGTTCACCAGCATAGCAACTCATAAGCCCCATGTCAATTTTTTTAAATTTAAAATTAGTTTTTTGTGCTTATTTTTGTGCCTTTTTTATTTATAAAGGGATTTTGCACACCTACAGGAAAATACCTTTCCAACTGTATGCGTAGATTTTCGCTACGATGCACATGAGCTGAGATAAAAGGTTTTAAAGAAACATGCTTGTCTATTATTATACCCTATAGATAAGTATTGATATAATTACTAAGCCTGCCATGTAATTTTGGTTAAGAACTATTAAAATTACAATTAAAAGTTTTTTTTTGTCTTTAATCTCGACGTCTAACTTTTATTCTATTTACATTACATTGGTTTGTTTGAGCTTAATCTCTTTTTAAACTTAAAATATGTTTATATAGAGAGTGTCCCTGAACTCTCTACCGACCACTCAAGTTATTATTCTAAGACTAAATAAAAATCCAAGGATCACAATAAATATTTCCAAAACTATAATATTACCCATACAGTCGCCTTTTTGTTTTTTATCGTCATCATTTCTTATTTATACACTGAAATGAATTTAAATCAACACGTATGCAAAACACGGTGGTAGTAATGTTTTTACTAGGCAATTTTCTTACAGAATACGAAGGAATAAAACTAATTTCAAATAATGTAATAACATTCAATAGATATATTGTATGTAATATAAAGATGTATTCCCCTAAGGAATACAAACGTCAATAAGCAGATACTTGCAAGCCTCAATATCCTATTATTTGCAGCGATATTGCCTAGCTGTTATAACCTTATACATAATAGTTGTTCTGCTCCTGCTTCGCAAAGGGTGTGCAATAATATGGGTCTCTAAATCTACTCTGTAACATACACGGTTACACAAACCAACCATGGATTATACAAGCAATTTTTTTGCTTCATTATACAAGCAAGTAATTATTGCTTATTTTAATGAAAGTCTATTGTTTATTTGCATTATACTGGGCGGCAGAATCAAAACTAATAACTTTATCCTCATGTAAACATCAATATTTAGAATCAGGAGATTAACTGAGGGAAAAATAAAACAAAAAACTACTGTGATTCAATAAAACCCCTTAATAGTGTTCAATAAGTGATTCAATAGTGGAGTGAGGTTAGTGTCCTTAGGAGAGGGTTAATCGAAAAACCAAAATTTTTTGTAAAGTTTCACATCAAAACCTTTCATTCAAGTATGCGATTGATATGAGTGTGGTTTACGAAATTTCTAACACGTTCACGATCTTTATTAGCACTGCATATACTGTATATGAAACATTTGGGTAACGATATTTCGCACTGTTAGTGTTGATTGCCTTTAATCCAACTTAACTGAGAAAACAGAACTGAACATTAAACTAAGTCGCAGGTAGACTAATCAATCTTAAGTGATTCTTAATTATGTCTTCAATTAAATCAACTATCTCAGCCATAATGAATATAAAACCCGATTCACTTCAATTATTTATAATTGACTAAATTAGACTAAGAATTAGTGTCTCAATAATTAAGTATAACCATTGACTATTAGATACTGAAGATATAACCCGTGCTATCATATAGCATTTAGAAAGAAGCTAGTTTAATATTCACATCTTTTTAGGCCTAATTAATTAATTTTATGATATAGAATAATTTTCAGTGATTTTATACGTTAATTCGATGAGTACAAAATGGAGTACTGTAAACTGCTATAAATTACACTGTAAATAAGCAATATAATTTGTTAGTTTTTCTTGCAAATGACAATATTTTACATTTATTAAATAATGAAAAATGTGAGTATAGTTTGTAGAAATTCCTAATACGTAATAGGAATACCGATATTTAGAGGCCTTTGGCAACAATTCGATATCACATTTTCTATATTTACGTTTAATAATCTGTCTGTAAGTCATAGAACATGTCGTGCCGCACGCATGAGCCCAGACCTCAAACCTCAATATATAAAACTTTCCCCATTCAGAGTTACAGTTTAATTGTGCTTTTACCCGTTACTCCGTGTCATCAAAGTAACTTGATTTGCCAAAGTTAGATTGAAGAAATTGGAGAATACCAGCTGCGCAATTGTGGTTTTCTGGTAATTGCGTCAATTCAAGGTAGTATATGAAAATTGGATGACTCTTTGTAAGGGGAGTGTTTTAAACAATAATAAAAATTCGAAATGCTAGCTTTGATATTTTGTTTCACTTTAACATTATTTACTTAGACTCGAATTACAGGTGCAAAAGAAAAGTAAACGATCGTAAAAAATATAATAGAGTATTGCGGGTGTCATAATTATTTATAAACTTAATTGTTTAGGTTTATTTCCATTGATTGAAAACAATACTACACCATGGCTAAATATTGTATTGTCAAAACGGAAACCCTCTTTAAAAAATATTAACATTACTAAAGCTGACATCATGCTTTATTGATACTTAACACAAAAACACAATAGTTGTTTTAACTTACAGCATAGTTTAGTTTGTCAATAAATATTCAGACTACGTTAGAGCGTAAAACGTGCACAAAGATTAGACATAATACACCTTCACTTTAGTTGAACTTCTGGCCTAAAACAAACCTCTAGACAATGATCCGTGACAGTTTTGTTTCCAGTAACAGTGAAATGTGAAAAGTACATTCCAAGACAGGATCCCTTGGTAACAAACAAACCGTAACTTTTCTCATATTGTAACTTGTCAACCTTTATGAGACTAGACTTGCCCAACTAAGCACATAAATATCTGTTACTTCGCCAGAACAACGTTATATTTACCGTTACTTCTCTGTACCACACAGACCGGGGACAGAACGTATGGGATGGAAAGAAGATAGAATG